AACAAAGGAAATGTATCCAGATTGCCTACAGCCTCTCAAAAAACGGTAATTAGTATATGTTTATGGCCTCTTCTTTAAATCAATATTGAATATAATATATGTATCCGGTTTACTTTTCATATGATTTCAAATTGAATGTCACGAAAGTACCCTATTTTCTACATAATTCTGCTAAAGCCGTAAAGTGCGGGAAAAAGAAAGTTGAAATTGAATATGATGGATCTAGCATGAAAAATAAGTCTCAAGTTATTTACGAGATCTTGACTTTAAGCTAATTTCATTTAACACCCATTCTCAATATAAGGGCTCAAATAATGTCGCCTCACTTTCATTTAAAAGAAATACCACTGATGTAATTTCTAAATCAACATTATAAATAGTCATATAACAATGAATAAGAATTCATATAATTATCGATCTGAAAGGGTATTTAAGGAGTTCCAAATTCAAATATAATAGCCTATTTGAAATGTACGTTACTGTCGCCTAGGCAAATATTATTCTGAATCCCCTCTGTGTAATACATAGTTTTGATTCTTAAGTAAAAATTTTCTGATAAGTTAAACCTTGTATCATATATATTTCTTTTCATAACAATAAATACATTTTCTTTGTGATAATAAATAATTTTTATTGCGCAATGTCCATGTCGCTTAATTCTATTTCAACCACATTACAAGCAAACACAAAGATTATACACCTGATAGTTTTGTTCTCCTTTATTTATTGATGGGCTAAATTTGAAATTTCAATAGCTTAATTACTCCTACTTAGATAATGTAACATGAAATTGAATAATTTGAGCAACTTTTATAAATATGTTTACGGAATGAAAGACATTTTCAATCGTAGAGATAAGAAAGAAATGTACGTTACCTATATTCTTCCATTAAGAACATATATTAAGTAGAAAATATGAGACGACTCTGAATAAGCAACCCCTTGTATCCTGTAAACTGGCAAAGACGTTCTGGTTAACACAATTAAAAATTATTTTTTACATGAAAAGTGATCATTTGAAATGTACGTGACTGAAATGTACGTTACCATGAAATACGAATTAAGTGAATCTCGCACGAATTTTCATTTATTCTCATACTTTCACACACTCGAATGTGTACACAAAGGAAAGTTTCAAAGGTTGGAGGTCGGCTAATTCCCAAAATTAATGAAAAGAAACGTTTCTGCTGAGATAAAAAAATATATTAAGGTCAATTATATGTAATACAATTTTGATACCTGGTATATATTTCTGAATACGAAACCTGTATGATGCATTTCTTATGATATGCAAGTTCAAATAGTATCAATATATTGCGTGTCTAACGTACGCTTGTGGAAGAGAATTGATTTTTATATTTGAAATGTACGTTATGTATGGTAACGTACATTTTACATATTTCTAACTGACATTTTTTTAATTTAGTCAATGAATTGCGTTTACACGAGCGAAACAAAATTATCGTTACAATCCATTTGACAACTGGCCACATAAATCCATCTAAATGCACCCCTAATCCTCGTAAATGTTTTAGACTGTTACCACATGCTAGAAAATTTATTTCTAAGAGTCTTAAATTTATCTTTGGCAACCTTTTTGCAGTTTTTTTACTTTAAATATGCGACTTTTCGTCAATATTGATTTAATATTAATAATTTAATTATTGTTGTTGATAATTTAAAACAAGGTATGCATAGGCTTATAATTGGTAAAAAAAAAATTAGAAACAAAAAAATAGAAAAAAAGAAACAAATAGGCCTAAACCCAGAACTCAAGATTGTCACGTACATTTCAAATACTGAAAGGCACACAATACTCAGTTTTGTTTGAATCATTGCATTTTGGTTACATTTTTCCAGATCTGCTGAAAAGCACGTATATTTGCGTTTTGAAAAACGATAATGCAACATACTAAATGAAATTGTTAACAAACTGTCGATGGATATATTCGGAATAGATTTATGTTCAGTTTCAATGGCCACACACGTGCATTTGTTAGATGATAGCAAAATACGTCTGACTCTTATATTTTTTTTGTCTGTACCTTTGCACACAGGTAGAAGTAACTAGGCTACGACCGGTGTCAATTTCAGCGAAACAGCACAAAAGAATGGTAATGAACTAAGGTGTGGGGGACTCTCCAAGAATATGTGAAATGAACGTTACCGAAGTGACGTGACATTCATGTAGTTGATGACAAATAACCTCGTTTGTTACATTATGATTTCTTATATTACTGCCTTAAAACGCTTCATTAAAATGATTTTTATGTCAATAATTGCTTTTTTCAAAATTTTCTTATTACTAATTTACATATTATTACAAGCTTGAAATGTACGTTTCCTACTCATATTCTGAGGCAATCGTGTTTTTATAGTGGTGTTTGCGACACATAACACAATGTGATTACATAGAGAATCTTTTTTTTAATAAATTGAAACAAAACGATGAATTTTTAGATGAATTTTAAGCTTTTTATTATACAGAAATATATCTTGAAATGTACGTTACATTTACGTATTTTTCTAAATCGGCATGGATATATGTTAAAAAAGACAGTAACTACAAAATAGAATTTTACTACATGTACATGTTAGGTTCCAGTATCTATAGAAAATGACAAGATTCCAAACTTATCGCTCTAAACAAAATAGAGAGAAGAATTTAAAGCATAAATTTTAAAAACTGTAAATACATCTGGATCAAAAAGTAACCATTGTTTTTGGAAAGGAAAAATCAAACGCAAGTTCGTATGCCGAGAAAATATGTTGCTGACAGAGTTGGTAGGATGTGCTGGTGTTAAGATGAGCTATTCCAATTGTCATTTTAATGACTATATTTTTTTTACATATCTTTTTGGACATTGAGGAAAGAGTAACGTACATTTCAAGCTACATTTCTGAATAAAATCACCCTCTGCTTTATCGTCTTGTCATTATTCCATGTATTAAAATTTGATGAAAAAAAATCTTGAAACAAAATCTTCAGATACTTTCATTCAAAGGTAATTGATAGAAAAATGGTTTTCTATAACTTCATTTTTTTAAAAAATCAGAGAGGCATTTGTGCCCTTATATTGAGAATGGGTGTCAAACGTCAAACATTTGCCTTTTGACTTAACACATGTTCATGGACACACACAGTGACTATATTTCTTTTTTAAGGCGCAACATACTTCCATGTTTGCTAGCAATAATCTTTATGTATAGATAATAATTTATTCAAATTTTTAAAATTCAAAACAAGGAACAAAAATTTACGAGCGTCATCTATATAAATAGCTTGTACACACAAATTGCACAGTCACGCCCGACGCTGCGTTAGATTTATAACAATGAATAGAAACCTCCATTTTCAGTAAATTACATTTGTTTTAAAATTCTTGTAGTGTCTTCGAATTTGTACACACCGTTGAAAAATCGTATATATCAATCTCAAATCAATACACTAGATATATTTCAAAAATTTTTGATTGTTTCAACAAATCTTTTGTCTCTTACCTCGTTTCAACTTCATCAAAACATATTTTTTGATCGGAAGCTGCCCCGTTTGGACGGCAGACGTCGCTTTTTCTGTCGAGTTTTGACATATACTTGTTTGGATTCACTGTCTCTATAGCAAACGATACTTAAGAAATAGCCTCTTTATTTGTGTTACATAAAATTTTATTAAGTTTTGACTTGTTTTATATAGAAAATATTCATTTTAATCCGAATACAATTATATCAGAGTTAATGTCATTTTAACCTTGGTTCGTGCACACAATCTGCGATCTTCAGAAACCCTGATTTTTAGAAAAATATTACGTTCCATCAATAAAAATAAAATCATTCTGACGTTTTTGCATAATAAATATTTTGATATATAACAGATTTATATACAACCATTTATTTTCACTAAAACGTACGTCATTGTCCACGAACTTTTACACACTAAATAATCGACGGATTTTCCCCATTCTTTCCCAATCATGACAAGGAGACCGGTTATGAGGGTAATATATAATTTGTTGGACCTGAGGTAAAAATATTGCCGAGAGTTGTAGATCTCCAGGTTCAACAAGTCGTTTACTCCATTACCCAGACAACAACAGTAATTGTTTTCTTATACTCTTCAATTTAAATCTACATGAAATATAAGTGGAGAGAACGAACAGAATTAAAGCTCAAAAGTCCATTAAACAAGACAGAATAGGAGCAGAGAAAACATGGACCTTTCAAAGATTAGAAGTGGGATCAGGTGGCATGCCATGGAAAAGTGAGTATCCCCTGCCGACCGGTCACACCCGCCGTGTGTTTCTTGTCACGATCGGGAAAAAAGAAAAATTAATCCGTAGACAATTCACTATGTAAATAATGAGCTGACAATTAGTATGAAAAAAGCATTTGACTTAATGATAGTTTGTATTTGCTGAGAAAGTCATTGTATCCACTACTGAACTTACGTAATAGACTGCTGATATTCTTGCATCATCGACTTGTTTGTCGACAACAATTAAGTATTGAGTAGTATTATGACTTTAAAAATGCAATTCTTTATTTCATGTGTCCAAATATTATATTAATATTGATACTGTTATACAGAGTTATATGTTGTCTATCTGAAAAAAAGATTTGTTTGTAAAACATTGATAACCATGCTGCTCCGAGAGTTTTTTTCAAAGTAGGTCAAGGTCAGTGAAGATACCTCAATGCATTCAGATGTTATGAACCAGGCTAATTTTTTTTCAAACGAAGGACAAACATAAAGAGATCAACAAGAAAGGTAATTAAACTAAGATCATAGGTTTTATTACAAGAAATGCAGATAAGAAATATATATGCCCCAACGCTATTTATTGTAAAGTACTGACCACGTTTATACTTGTAGTTTTAAGAAGTTATTCCAAGGTCAATGTTTTGAGGCCAAAAACTGTCGAACTCAAGAACAACTTTTTATCACAAGAAATACAACTTTGAAACATACTTTCAAATACTTTTTGTTTCAAATTTCAATCTTATCTAAGAACATTTAAGAAAATGATACAACTATTTTCTTGGAAAAGAAATGAGCTTTAGTTGTAAAAAAATCCATTATGCTGGTCTAATCTTCATCTCCACACGCGCCATTGAGTACTGTTTATGTTTCCATGGATACCATTCGATACCAGTTCCCTCAAGTGTGGGATCCCCAGCAATTTCCCCCGTTGTCCTAGGCCCATAAGGGGATCCTTTTAGAAATTCGCCATTCAGATTGGAGCTTAAATATATATTTTTATACAACTAATTAATGAAATAAACATTACAAAAGTTACATTAAAAATAATTCATTTCAATCTGTATTGTATTTGTAATTATCAACATTCAGTGTATTGTTTTAAGCATCTAATCGTTCGAACTTGACACGTTCGTTTTTTTTCGTTTTATTTTTTAAATTTTATAGTATTGGTTTTCTTTTCTTTTATTGTTTTTGTTTTGTTTTGTTTTGTTTTGTTTTGTTTTTCATATTTATTTTTTGAATAATTTAAACTTCATCATGATATTTTATGTACCTGTAGCAGGAATTAAACCACCATCCCGATTTCAGACGCTTGGCACAGTTCATAAAAGAGTTGTCGCGATCCCGATCCGGGGTGCTGAATCTCTGATTGTTATGACGTAGAAGATTGGACTGAGGGTAGTTAAGGGAATCCCCTATAGCAATAATATAAACACAAAAATAATCAGTGCATTACTTGATATAGCAGAAAAAAATATTTAAAAGAAAAGGTTTTTGTGAAAAAAAATCTTTCGTAAGACGGAGATTGGGAGATTAAGATAATCCTCAGCATCCTCTACGAACAGTGGGTCGTTAGTTCACATGCATTAAACGACCATAAGTAGAAACAGGACCGTGATTTATTTTAATGATGAGCTTCATCGTTCTCTCTCTTACTGCTTCATCCTTATCAATATACCATTTTGCAGAATGCAATTACATTGTAAAATTTCTGTGAATAGAATTATTAAAAATAATTTAACTACCTCCAGTACCAAGTACTTTGTGAGAACATAGGAAGAACAGGTTTTTTATTTTTAAAATAAAATACCCGCATCTCCTGTGTATTTCCCAACCGAGAGTCTGTAATCCGTACTCTCTGGACTCAAACGAAAATCCCTGTATTCTGCCGTCACGATGTTTCCCGACCAATCCATCAGCTTGATGTTGAGGACGTTATTTCCGGCAGCTGTTAGTTTGTGTATAGCCTCATTTCCGAGCCAGAATTCTGAAGTTAGGTTCCCGAACCCATCTCTGTAATCAGTCCAGTTTCGATTAAAATTGACTGATGCATCCTGGCGTCGTTGTATAACCGTCCAACGTCCGTCGTCATGATATAAATCACAATAGACTTCTTTTGCACTTCCTGAAAAAATATAGTTGTAAGATACCATACAAGATGAATTATGTTCAAAAGTCCGAAATTATTTAGTATGAAGATTCCAGTATGAATTGAGGGCAAAGCGGAAACCTAAATATAAAACCATCAGTTTTGAAATCAGATGCCATAAAGGTGTAAGTATCCCCTATCAAGCAGTAAAGAAATATTTAAAACACTTCATTCATTAAATGGACCAATTTCACATTTAAACACTATATTTTGCGATATCCCAAATAAAACTTTGGGGTGGATACTCTGTACGAAAATTTTATAAGTACAATAATTACATTGTTGTATATCGTATATCATAAGAAAACATTCTGCTGAAACACGGTGTTACACTTAACACAAACTACATATTAACATTTATAGAGAATGATAAATCTAAAAAAAATCAAATAAAACTGATTCCTGTACAAACCTCCTAGCTCTATTTGGTAGACCCCGCTATTTGTCTCCCCTTTTGCTGCCCAGTCGGCACAATCACGATACGTGAATGGAACTATAAAAAAATTAAATATGTTTGCATAGCATAATTTCAGTCATTAGTCGTTATCAATAACGAAATGCAAGAAATCTTGAAAAGCACTAAAATTTAACATTTTTCAAGTCAACATTGACGTCATTTCTGAAATCTCGACGTAATATCTAATATCTAAAAATATATCATTGATGTCACAAAACAGCTTTCAAAATTATGTTTTACATACAGGGCAATATCATTTTTCAAAGTATTTCTGATGGAATAGTATTTAAATGAGGTTTGATTTAACCTGGTTTACAAACTTGAACTTGAAAGAAAACCTGCCTGCTGGAGTGGGCATGGTAGATGTTGTTGTTGACATCGGGAGTGTAGGTGGAGGAGGAGCTTGTGTTGTCATGGTTACTGTTGTTGACTCAGTTGTGAAGGCAACAGCATTTTGTTGAAATGCTGCCATCTGTATTGAAAGATTTTGCACCAATGACATTAACTGTTGGTTTTGAAGCTTTATCAATTCATTTTCCTTTTTGAGTGCACTACAGCAGGACGTTGCATTCGCAATGGAAGTTTCCAGCAGGGATATTCTTTCTTCGTGTTCGTCCAGGTTTTGGAATAAGGACACTTGGCATCGTGAAACAAGTACAAAATTTGTTAGAAAACACCAAATCACAACAAAGGTGGCCATTTTGGCATTACTGTTATGTTTGACCTTTGTTGATAAGAACATTTGATACAAGAACATGTAATAAGCTATCAATAATATCAGAAGGTGCGCCCATGCATGTTTCTCTTTAAAGTGCATATACTTACGTAACAGGAAAAAATTCTCAGTTTCTCAGAAGAAAACACCTTTTCTATTAACAAAATTTTTTTGGGAATAATTAAAAATTGGCAAGAAAATGCAACCATGGTTGGTGCCTAATAAACAATTTAAAAAAATTTCACTGTAAATTTACTTAGATAGACAAAATGTTTACCTTCTCTCAACAGATGCATTGTTAAGTCTCCGACTTAGGGTGCCATTTAGTTATCGGTCTATCCATCCATCCGTCCGTTTCATTTCATTTGTCTGTGATAGAGGGTGTGAAATGACCTAAATCTAATTTCCTCGATCTAAAAAGAAGGTCAAAAATCCTTTCTGTATATAAACATTGTCTTGTGGCATATTAGTTCGCCCCTTGGATGATTAGGTGACCTTAAACCTCAAACATCTTCACTCCAACGATACCTATGGGCATAAGGTGTGCAGTAACTTTGACCTTATTTTCTAAATAAATGGCCGAACACAAAAACCTATTTGTATTAAATCGTTATTGCCTCTAAGTTTTTTTTTATTGCTAACAAAGAATTTTTCTTACCCTTAAAATATAAATGTTGGTTTCATATCTTTGAATTTTAAATATAAATATTACAGACATCATAAAAATCAAGCCAAAATCTATACACATTAAATAATGATTACACATAAGAAAACATATGTACAGGGTGTTTCACAATATATGTCACACATCTAAATGGGCATAATCTGAATATCGAGCATGATACCAAAAATATCAAAACACGATAGTTAAGCACATTGATCTAAATTTATTATATTGCATAGTATCGGGAAAATTATAATAAACCATGAAGTAACCGATGATATAACCAGTGATGTCATAATTTCTGCTATTCTCAAAATTGCGTAAAACTTGCAGCAAAAGTTTGTTGTAAACTTTTATTATAAGAACAGTTTACGATATCTTTAATATTTTACAGGGGGTGATGATAAAAAATAACTAGACCAGCAATTACTGTCTATTTTTCTTATATCAATAATAAGTAGAGGGTTTAAATTAAATTAAAATGTAAAGATGAAAGACAGAGACCCTGCCTCCTCTTTACCCTACCCTACCCATCCCCCAAAAATCAAAAAGAGATGAGAACAATATCAGAGGGAAGTCAATCATTGAGAAAACCTCATGAAAGTCTGATCTGAGTTGAAGGAAATGGTTTGTAACAATGCCAGTAGGTGTATCAAGAGTATTTCGAAATCTTAAAATTTTAGTTAGGTGTGTCTGCATACAAGATTTCAACGTTTAAAGTCAAATGATATTCAGAGCAGGGGTTAAAGTTTGCAAGATTGACTGAAAGGAAGAGCGAAAGGAGTGGACACCAATTAACTCATACCGGTAGTTCTGAAACGACACATTTATTTAAATGCAACTTTAAATAAAAATAGATTTGCACTTTGGGGGTTCTAAAAAGCCAGATATAAAACAAAAAAAGTCTCAGAAATCTTGGGAATCTTGGGAAACTTACAAAACAGCTATCAGAAATTTATAAACATCAGTCTCTTAAGTTATTTAGGAAAATGTTTGGAAAACACTTGGAGAATAACATTTGAGGATTTGTTGCCATAGTAACTGAAGTAGAGAATTTTGGATACTTCTGACTCAAAAAAAAAATAATTTTGAATATATGCTGATTAAAATGATATATAAAATGTATATGTAGCTTTACTTGTCATTTATCTATCTGTCTTTAGATGTGTGACATATATTTGAAACACCCTGTATGTACATCTACATGCAATCATCAACCCCGCTCCCGTAACCAATAAGTAAGGATGGGGGTAGAGAGATGTAATCTTCTCACACATCCTTTTTCATAGTCCTCTTTTATAGATTCCTGTTAAACCTATCTACCTCTCTCCTCAGGATTAATCAGTCGAGTAATACATATGTTAGTTTAAAGTTAAAATGTTTTTGAATGATAAGTCAATTAATAGGGAAAATTTCAGATCGATTTCCCAAAGAAAAAAGTTTTTTTTTTAAATTTTGTTTTTAATTTGTTAATTAATTAAAGTAGCATGTTTTATAAGGTACCACTGAATTTGCATTTTTATAAAAGGAAAAAAGTAAATTTCTATCAGCAACTTTATCATAAAATATTTTTTCGTTTAAAAAGTTCAACTAGAAAGGATAGATGTTGTTCCAGAAACAACCGTTTTATTTTTCATTTAAACATAAAATGGATGTTAATCACGTAAATAATTATTGCTTAAGGATCCTCTCTACACTGCACACTAAAAAGTTTCTTTCGGGGATTCTGCATTTTGAGTAACCTGCCTTTAGATCTTAATTCTAAAAACAAATAGAGATTTACAGTATATCACTCAATTTGTAATCAATTCAGGTTTTTGAACATTTTAAAAGACCAAAATGAATTACTTGAAAATGTTAATTACATGTATTTTATCTGTGGGAGTATTCAACTGTAATACCGGTATCTATTTACCGATATTGTGTTGTATTTGAACATTTCCCCTGGGGGTAAATGCCAGGTACCATATAGTGAAAAGTAATAAAGGAAGCTCAATATTAACATCTTTATGCAATATGTTTTCCTCAATGTCCAAAAACATTTTGCACTGGAGTAGAGAGGCTCCTTTAACTTGCTTTGTGACATGTACATGATTTTGGAAAATTATGTAGGCACATTCTCTTAAATACAGAGTAAATACTAAAAAATTGCAATAAAAAACAATTTCCCATTTGTTCATTTTGCCTTTTTTATGAAACTTAGTTCGTAATGTTTCCGTATTTCAGAGTAAATGCAGTTTAAATCTGCAAGTGGTAATCTAGCTTATAGCCATAGCTTCCTTTCCAAGGAGGAAAGTTTTTGAAATCCTCTGCATGTTTTTAATGTTTTTTTAATAACAATCAAATTGAATTTGAATTACCATACCTTTACTTTTATAGCCTTGATTATAGAAAATTAAATAATGAGGAAAAAATAATAGCTTCACAAGTAATACTCTTGTATTTTGGATTGGAACTTACACTTTATTTTAAATAGCTTTACGATTTATTATAATAAGATAACGTGCACTGCAGGTTGAAGAGTATAGCTTGGAAAGCTTCTTTAAAATGTAAAGATAACGAACTGTAGTCGATATAAAACAAATCCTTAAGGTACATTGATACTCTGATAAGAGAGATAACTCTTAATGACACAATTTTCTATTATTCCTGTATAAAGTTGTCAAGTTTAAGTACATTTTTTGGTCAAATTTTGCCCCGCACGCCATGCTATAATTGTTTGTATTTTATTCAGCATATACATTTGCATTGGAAAATCATAAAAATTAAAGATAAATTTCATATGAGTGAGCAGAGGGTTTATGAACCTTAAATATTACAAATATTGTATCAAAAAGGGCATAAAACAGAGACCTCTGGAAATTCTAGAGATGGGATCAGGTGCCTAGGAGGAGTAAGCATTCCCCCTGTTGACTGGTCATTTCTGCCATGAGCCCGATGTAATGACTAGAGGTACTGTGAGCAATGAACTCACTAAATGATATCCCCGGATCCCATATGATTATATAATGGAAAAGTTCATGTTTTGCTGTGGCCGGGAAACCCAAAATATATGTCGGATCAAAAAGTAAAATAGGAGGTGCACAATGGCAATATGTAATAAAGATTCTGTGAAAGTTTCATTAAATTTCACTCAGAGGTATAAGAGGAGGTGTGAATAAGAGATTGGTACCACAAAGCGTAACAGACAGACAGACGGACGGACATACCGATTACAGTATACCCTCCCACTTTTCAAGCAGGGGTATAATCAGGTAGATGTTACTATTCATATATTCAATAAATTTCGACTTATTTAAAGAAAATTTTATTTGAAGCCTTTGCGTCGGAAGCAAATTAAAAGTGTGTGTGCAAAAGTGTGTGAGGGAGGGTTTGTGTGTGAGGGTGTGTGTGTGTGTGTGTGTGTGTGTGTATGTATGGGAAGTGGGCTGCTAAATGAAAGAGAGCAAAAAAGGAAAATGTGTCCATTGACTACACACGAAAATCCTACTTCGAACGTGGGGTTGGTGGGGTGAAGAAGCAAACTTTTTTGATACCAAATTTTTTGTCCACACACTAATAACTTACACTTGTTTTTACCTAAACTGCAGGTAACTTTTGAAAGCGGGAGGGGGTGCTAATCCTACGCCCCGATGTTCAATGCCCATGCCACCCGGCTCCGATGCCTATGGGAAAATACATCTTAAAAGAAACTCCTTTAACAAGTTTCTTTAAAGTCTATTACTTATTATGTAACTTTTGGTGGATGCTTGAAATCAAGTGGACGGGAAAAATGTGTTTTTAATTGATTGCATAATTTACTTCCTCCATTACACTGTACATGTATTCCCCATTTTCAAAAGTGAGTTATCTCCCCTCAAAATCGGAACTCTTCAACACTAGCATAACTTCCGCGGACTACATGTTACGATAATCCAACAAAAATAGTGATCAACTTACACGCTGTATTTAAAAATTTTAAAAGAAGGAAACGGTTTGCATTTTTTTAGATAATAAATTATTTTATGAAGGGTCTGTTAGCCCCCCCCCCCTTTCTAGAAAGCTATACGAATTAGCCAGGCACCTAGCATCGTCTTTAAAAAGGGGGGGGGGTTAGCCAAAGAAATATTTTTTTCTTACCTGGAAAAGTTGGCAAGCAAAGAAAAACCTTGCCCAAAGTTGAAAAAGCTAATACTTATTTCAGTACCAGTTCCTTGGCATACAATACTGCATTTCCCTTATATAACTTTACCGTAACTAGTATAAACTGAGTGTGTGTGTGTGGGGGGGGGGGGGTGGGGGGGGTTGACAACCTGTCTATCAGTGAACATTTTCAATAGAAAAAGTAATATTGGGAAAAAAGTGGGGGTTGGGCTAAACCCCTTGACCCTGCACCCCCCCCCCCCCTCCGTGCGTACAGGTACAGAGAATATGTAAATGGGTTGAACAGTTGAAAATGAACCAAAGTTGTGAAAATTAATATTATTTCCCCTGAAGGGAAGTCTTTTACTGTGTTTAATACGCATGCGCTATAGATAAAGTCACATCCGCGGACGTTCTTGATGTAAACATGTTCATGGTGTATGCCTCTGTCATATGGAAAAATGTTATTGTGTTTGTGAATAAAAAGAAATCTTAACTGATTCGTATTTTTTTTAAATTGCCCACTCATAGTCTCTTTCTGGATTTGTATTAATCTGTGTTGTACTATAATAAGGTGCTGTGTGACCCCCCCCCCCCCCCTTACAAAAAAAAAAGAAACAAATTACTATTAAAATGCTGATACATATTCGAATAGGCCTATTAAAAAAAACACAAACAAAAAAGCTAATTTTCGGTAGTGGATATTATATTAGATACAATGAAAATATGGCTGCAGCAGGCTAGATTAATTCGTAAAAACTTTATAACTAAAAATTTGTTCCGCACATTTTGTAAATAATGATGATCCGTCTGCAGAACATCCACTACCGAAAATTAGCTTTTTTGTTTGTGTTTTTTTTAATAGGCCTATTCGAATATGTATCAGCATTTTAATAGTAATTTCTTTCTTTTTTTTTGTAAGGGGGGGGGGGGGGTCACACAGCACCTTATTATAGTACAACACAGATTAATACAAATCCAGAAAGAGACTATGAGTGGGCAATTTAAAAAAAATACGAATCAGTTAAGATTTCTTTTTATTCACAAACACAATAACATTTTTCCATATGACAGAGGCATACACCATGAACATGTTTACATCAAGAACGTCCGCGGATGTGACTTTATTTATAGCGCATACGTATTAAACACAGTAAAAGACTTCCCTTCAGGGGAAATAACTCACCTTTTGAAAATGGGGAATTGTCAAACAACAAAAAGAAGTTGAATTTCACTTTTTTTGAGATCCAGATTTTACTGCTTTTTATATAAGTAAACTCTACTCAATATTTTCTATAAAAATCAGAAAGTTTGCGGAATAGGTTGTATTGATCGAACCTACATTGAAAGCAGATGTACAGAATTTAAGCATTTTGAAAGCAAACAAAGATAGCTTTTATAATAGTTTAATAGGCACTATTATCTGTAAATATAAAAATTATTTAGAAAAAAAAAGATATGATAATCCGCCATAACAAAATAATAACTTTCATATTTTTTCTAAGGTAGCATTTCATATTGACAACATTTCCCGTTACCATTAATGAATCATGGAGATAACAAACAGTATTGAAGATCAGAAGTCCACAAAAGCAATACAAAACAGGAGCAGAGCAAACGAACAGTATGCAATATCAAAGTCCATTAAACAATACAAAAATAGGAGGATCATCAGCAAACACGGACCTCCGAAACATCAGAGGTGAGATCAGGTGGCATGGAGGAGTGAGCATCCTCCACAAACTAGCATTTTTTCTCAAACCTCGAAAATTTGACCCCATGAAAATATTTGATATTACAGTATCCAAATGTAGAGTTGAAGACCACAGCAAGAGTTTTTTTTCCTTTCAAGCATAAGATTTTGAACAAATTCTACTTCCTATGAATACAAAATTAGGTCTACTAATAATGGGGCGCAATTGGTACACATAGGAATTCCAATAGATTGTTGGAAGACCGGGTCTCCAAAAACTACATAGATATTGTCAAACAGAAACTCAGGCACCTTTTTGATGTCAACTTAAAAGTACTTGTGTGTACAATCAGAATGTTATAACAAAATAGTTTTGCAAATGACCTATGACAAGGTAAGTAAATTAACGAGTTCCATTTTTATTGAAAAAGCAGCTGTCACTGATATCAAAAGCCTGGACTTTTATTAAAATATGAAAGTGGTTGCACCAATAATTATTATCCCACTTTTATCTCATTCAATTTGAGGGAGTTAGGGATCATCTGTGTCAGTGCATATTCTTACAGAAAACATACCTTAAAATATGCAGTGTATTTTTTTATGTTACAATACTTTCTAACAACATTAAAATAATAATAATGCAAACTTCAAAATATTGTTTCCATTTTTTATGATTTTCAATTAATAACTTTTTAAAGAACTCTCACACATTTACAAAATGATTATAGCTGCAAAGTGGATTCTTAAGCCGCACTTGAATTAACCTGTGATGTGTGTTTTTCGGCTGTCATACTTTGCACCGCCATACTTAATGTATTCATGCACGTCTTTAAACTGTATTTAATTAGGCATGCATAACTTTTCTACACTAAAGAGGAACAATATTTCTATTCGATATGTGAGCATTTTTTAAGTTTGTGAGTGAACATGTAGAAACAACAAATTAGATGCTTTGTCAGTTTGGAAAAATTAGAGATAAAATAAGCATGAATGTCCTCAAAAAGTACAGGTAAATACATTTTAATTAAAAATTACGTAATTTAGATCTGAGAAACAAATACCAACAAAATTCTAACGTAAAATTTTACTCTTTGAATTGGTATTTCCTAAAAATATACATAAAATATGCATATATTATTCTTGCTCAAAAGTTGATGTTTTGTTTTTTATTAATATTATATTGTTATTGGACTGTTTATATGCAAACTCACTGCATGGATCGACTTCGTAATTAACTTTACAATGTGAACGTTTCAGTCACCGGACGCCATGTTCCTAACATGTTCGCTATAATTATGTACTATCTGTGAATCGTTTTTTTTTTTAAATACGTTGCTACACATCGCATTCATTGAATAAGTAGAAAAATGAATAATATCAATTAATCTTATTATCAAGCGCTATATATTAATTACCTGAGGCGCTTCCCTTAACGTTCAATCGTTTGTTAATTTTCTGTGACCAAAGTGCATTTCATTTTTTGAAGTTCAACCCGCTCATTCTCAAGGACGATATGTATAGTAAAGAAAAAATATATAAAAAATTGTTGAACCTGTGTGTAAATAACCATAAAAATCAAACGAAAGAAAAATTGAAAAAACTAAAATAAACAAACCCAAAAGAATATTGGAAAATAATAAACCCTGGGCAAAAAAATAGAAAAAATGTAAATGCATCTGCTGAGGAATTATAGGATTTTTTTAAAGATTTAAATATGGAAAAAGATTATGAAATACCTGACTATGTTTTATCAAATGAGGATATAGATATTCTTTCTAATTTACAGTGTAATGCGTCTGTAAATGAACCGATAACTTGTGATGAATTAATGCAAAGTATAAAAAGTCTTAAAAGAAACAAATCATGTGGAAGTGATGACATATACAATGAATACATTAAAAGCTCATGCAACATAATGGTGCCCCTCTATCAAAAAATATTCAACAAAATTCTTGACAGTGGTTGTTTCCCCTCCGATTGGTTGTGTGGTGAAATAATTCCTATCTATAAGAATAAAGGTGATGATACTGAACCCAAAAATTATCGCCCAATAACTTTAATTAGTTGTACTGGAAAGTTATCTACATCCATTTTAAATAATAGACTTAATAGATATTCAGAAGAATTCAAAATAATGCCAGAAAACCAAGCTGGATTTCGTAAAAATTATGGTACAACTGATCACATATTTACTTTGCATACAATCATCGAAAGATTCAAAAAGATTTTTAAAAAAGAATTTATTGTGCTTTTATTGATTTTGAAAAAGCTTTTGATTCTGTATGGAGAATAGGACTCTGGAACAAAATACTATTTGATTGTAATATAGATGGAAAATATTTTAGAATAATTAAGAAAATGTATGAGGGTATCAAGGCAAAACTTAGAGTAAATGGTGTTCTTTCAGATACTTTCCCTTGTCAACTTGGTGTAAGACAGGGTGAAAATTTATCCCCTTTTTTGTTCTCGCTCTGTTTAAATGATTTAGAATCATTCCTCACCATGAATGATATAACTGGTTCAGAGAAAATATCTGAAATGATTGAGAATGAACTTCATGTGTATATTAAGCTTTTTGCTCTGTTGTATGCTGATGACACTGTTTTATTTGCTGAAAACCCTGAGTCATTACAAAATATGTTGAATTGTTTTCATGAATATTGTATAAAATGGCGGTTAAAAGTAAATGTTGACAAAACAAAAATAATGATTTTTGGAAGAGGTCGAATAAAACAAGATTTGTATTTTACATATGATGGTTTAAGTCTAGAGATTGTTGATAGTTATAAGTACTTAGGAATATATTTTTCAAAATCAGGTTCTTTTAATCAAAATATAAAAGAACAATACAATAAGTCTGTAAAAGCTATGTATGGAGTGATATCAAAATGTAAACAACATTATTTTTCTATGGATTGTCAGATAGATTTGTTTGACAGAATTGTACAACCAGTTTTGTTATATGGATGTGAAATATGGGGATTTACAAAAAATACTTTAATCGAAAAACTTCACTTAAAATATTGTAAATATATACTAGGTTTGAACACTAAAACGCCAAACTACATGGTGTATGGGGAACTTGGCAGATTCCCACTTATCATTAATATTAAGGTGAGAATGATTTCTTTTTGGGCAAAACTACATTTTTCTCAAACGATGGATAAATTTGATACAAAAATGTATGTTCTAGCTTCAAAGCATAATTTGCCTTGGGCTAACTATGTTAAAAATATTTTAGATGATTGTGGATTATCTTATTTACGGACAACACAACAAATGTACAATGAAGCATTGGTAAAAAAATGAAGTAAAAAGAATACGTGTTGACCAAAATATCCAAAACTGGCAAAGTAATGTTTTTAACTCATCAAAGGGTGTAAATTATCGTATTTATAAAGAAATACTAGAACCAGAAAGATATCTCGTTAATCTACCTAGAAAATTTTCAATTTTGTTATGTAAATCTAAATGTAGCAACTTTAAACTCCCCTTTGAAACTGGGAGATGGTATGGTATTCCAACAGAACAAAGAATTTGTACTTTATGTGATTTTCATAAGATTGGTGATGAATTCCATTATGTTTTTGAATGCACACAAAAAGAAATTAAAGAGGCTAGGTTAAAATATATTTCAAGCTCTTTCTTGTAGACCAAATATAGAGAAATTTAAGCAACTTTTACAACAACAAACTGTTCAGCATTGAAAACATTATGTAAATTTTTATTGATTGTCAAACAAATTATAGATGAAAATAATTGACATGAACTTGAACATGATACTTTGTACTGTTTATAATGCATGTATTATATTTTTTTGTATGTGTTTGTACCTTTTCCTACCTCCTCTCTACAATTTATGTTTGTACATTTAAGAGAATAAATCATTGTCATTGTCATTGAATATTTTTGGAAACAAATATGAATTTTTGTTGAACTATTATTGATTTTTTTTTTTTTTTTTTTGGTCAAACTGGTATACCTGACTTTAATATAAGAAATGTAATTATTTCCTATCTTGTAATGGAAATAGGAAAATGGACAATACCTGAAGACATTCTAAGTAATACATAAATATGTAATATACATTTTATCATCATCCTCAGATCAAAAGACATGTTTATCAAAGTAAATAAAAATCTTGCATATTTGTAATTTTTTTTCCTTTCCAGCTTTACATCATGAATTTTGCCATTTGAGTAATTTTTAAGACTCTTTTTAAAAATTTACTGTAAATTCGTTTCATCTCAGATGAAAATATCAATAAACATTGTATTATATAGAGAATAATATATACCCTTTTCCATATCACATCCTGTATCAGCCCGAGACACCAATATCAGCCAGAGGGCCGAAGGCCCGAGGGCTGATACAAGATGTGATGTGGAAAAGGGTATGTATTATTATGTTTATTACATACTTAGTAATAAAATACAGCACACATTAAGTTGAAAAGAAAATAAGTGAATAATCATGCATGGACTTCTTACATACATGTACATGGTCTGTTATGTACATGGTCTATTGTCTCGTACGGTTTGGGTTTGTTTCTACTTCTATTTCAATGCACTCGATCCGTAATTTGAAAATAATCTATTACATATGTATTTGTAAATTAGATTATCCTTATTTTCAAAAAGAGAATATGAACCCATCAAAAAATTATGTATGATCACAATTACTGTTTGTTTGTTTGTTGTTTTTTTTTTTTTTTTGTTTTTTTTTTTGGTTTAATTTACTTGGAGTGTGATATTGATCAAAGATCATTTAAATGAATCACCAACATGTACAAATTGTGGATATCAAAACGAGAACTCACTGCATTTTTTCTTGTATTGTCAACAATATGCCTCACAATGACAATTACTTATTAAATACATGAATGAAAATAACATACCAATTAATATAGAAAACATATTATATGGTGTAGACTCACTAACTCTGGATAAAAATTATTCATTTTTTGATCATGTACATACCTTTATAAGAACCTCCAAGAGGTTTTCATTGAAATTTTAGTTTATTATGATATTCTATGGGAAATATATTATTCTAGGTAAACTGCTCTGTTAGGGAATTCTTCCTACTCTTGGTCAACAACAATTGCTCAAACATATGTTTTTGTTTTTTGTCTTTTTCTTATTTTTTGGGGTTTTTTTTCCCTTTTTTGTTGTTTATATTTTATTATATAATTATTATTTTTCCTATCCATTTGTTAAATTATTTTCTCTCTCTCTCTCTCTCTCTCTCTCTCTCTCTCTCTCTCTCTCTCTCTCTCTCTCTCTCTCTCTCTCTCTCTCTCTCTCTCTCTCTCTCTCTCTCTGAATTAATTCTAAATATGTACCAATTGATAATCTACTCTTCATACATTTCTTTCAATGTTTACATGTACTTGTAATTGTACCTTGACCTATGGAGAGAACGATCATAGGCATTTATGCCTGCTGTTCAATCCATTTCTTTATGAATAAAATATATTTTAAAGTATATTGATCCGTATCAGCCCAGCAGGGCTGATACGGCAATTGTGACGTCAGGCATATCGCATATGCAAAAATTCTGTATTTATTACTAAGTGTGTAATAAAGTATAATATACTATTAAACTATGAAATATAGAGATAACTAATAGTAATAGTATATATTCAAGCTGAAACGTCCAAGCAAACCGTCAAACACGAAGTTTAACCTTTAAAACTTCAGAGTTGCAATTAAGTGCCATTAAGAAGTGAGCATACCCTGTGGATCAGCTCGTAAACAATAATTTGAAAGTGAGAAATATAGCCTCATGTACAAGTAATTGGAAATATACATCTGTAAAAGACAACATAGAAACATGATTTAAAGACAATTATATATATTTGTTAGCTGAGATAATATTACTCTCAATGTGGATTACTTTGCAAAAACAGCCAAAGTTTTTTTTCTTATACATATACTTGAAACAAGATTTTAGACTTAAACTGATACTTCTAACAATTCACAATCATCATAATCATTTGTGCCTATATATATGAAGATGGGTTATTAATCACAAGAGGTGCATTACTTAAACACCCGCATTAATATTATTCGTCAGAAAAAAAATTAATGAAAAGGACTTATTCAGTAATATTTTTGTTGCTTACATTATACATTACCTACCCTAGCCTCTATAATTTCAAGACTTAATCGAACTTGGATTCATACAGTTTTGGTACACTTAAAATATTTATGTGCATGACCCTAATATCTATAATTACCTTTACAAACACCAATATTTTTGTGTTCCCAATTCTGGAGAATTATTTTGAGCGAAAAGTTAACCGTCATAGACGACGGAAAGAATTCGATTAGTAAAGGTGTCACAACAGTATTAATTTCTGCTATATATTCTTACCAAAAATGCGCAAGTTTGAGTAGATGTAACTAATTCAAAACAAACTTCTGAGAAGTTTCCTTTTCAGATCTTGTAAAACCATTCTTTATAAAGATTTTAGTACCAAAAAACACATAGCCATCCAGCAAGGCACGCAAGTTTTTTTTCGGTCGAAGTCGAGCAGGTGCTTGAAAATCTAGTCCAGGGCCTAATCACTCCCCACTCTTGGCAGTATATAGAAAAATCAGCACGCCCTAAATTTTAATAAATCCGGTCAATACAGGAAGTTTACATGAATTGTTTTTCATCTCATAAAAAAATTCAGCTCCAGTCTCGTATCAAAATGCCCGAATCGGAAGGGAAGATTCCGGGATTATTTTGCGTCAGCCATGATTTGACGTGAACCAAAGTGTAATACTGTTATGACACCTGCAAACTGTCTGAGGCTAAATTGAATATTTTGACTTATTTCCAAAATTTTATTGTGTATATATATATATATATATATATATATATATATATATATATATATATATATATATATATATATATATATATATATATATATATTATGTCCTGGCTATGAAATATTTTAGGTTTTAATAATTGCATTCCTTTATGTGAAAGTTTTAGTCTGATTTTTAGGGGGTTCATTTTGCTCAACTTTCGATTTGTGTTGTTTCATTTGACTTTTCACCTTCATTGCCATTTTTTATCTCTTCATGACATTAATTAGAATGAAATAATTAATTAACAATTATTTGTGTAAAATATCGTCACTAATATATTTTGTCTAACATGTTTCATAAGGCATGCTTAAACAGTTTATTAGGAATTAATAAAAAATATCTTAATTAATTTATTTAAATGGATACCTGCATGCGGAGTTTTTGTATCTCAGTTGATTCGATATGCAAGAGCATGCTCTACGTATGATCAATTTATAAAACGAGGTAAGTTATTGACAAACGAGTTGTTGAAACCAGAATTTCAGCATTCTCGTTTAAAGTCATCATTTCGTAAGTTCCGTGGTCGATACAATGACCTTGTCAGCAAATACATGTACAATTTATCATTGAGTCAAATGCTGACTGATGTTTTTCATACAAATTGTTATTCCATTATTTATACACTGAATTGACGACGGATTTTTCCATTATCCCGTTAATGACAAGGAGAACACGGCGGATGTGACCGGTCGTCAGGGGATGCTCACTCCTTCATGGCACCTGATCCCACCTCTGATGCTTTGGAGGTCCGTGTTTGCTCTGCTCATATTTTGTATTGTTTAATGGACTTTTGAATACTGTTTGTTATCTCCATATGTTTCATGGAAAATAAGGTAAACAGCGATCTCAGGTTATCTGTATATGTATGTGCAAGATGTTTTACGCTTATTAATTTATTTAAAATTACAGATTAGTGCTTTCATATGGATCATGTGGAAGTTTTCTTTTTCTACTAGTAGTAATCTTTTTTAAAAATGATTGGGATTCTACGGATATTGTGATTCAGGAACAATCATGTGACAGTGAAATGGATTCTTATCATAAGTTCCATAGAAGTATGTAAATGAAACTCATATGAAAATATAATTGCGACTAACCTTTTGATATCTGAAACCGTTTGCATTTGGAAAGAAAGTACTTTAGAGGAAACTAAATACTTTAAACTATAAAACTTTTTTGAAAAATTTCTTTCACATTTATTTTCATAGCATACATTTTCATTCTTTTATATGATTTTTTTTCAAATTGATTTAGATATCCCTGCCATAGGTGGGAAAGATTGGTCATTTAAATCACTTCAACGGTGCTTAGATAAAAATTCTGGATTCTACAAACGTCCGATAGATAGAAGGGAACAGCTTGTTCCAATATGCAACGGCACTAATGTGTCTATTCACACCGTGACAAATTTCAACCAATTGCTGCCAGTGTTTGAGTATCCAGACAGTTGCCTTCACTTGATCATTGACAAATTTTGCTTGGGTGAAGTTGTACCGAACATAATTCACTACATCTGGTTTGGAATACAACATTTTGAGCTTATCCATTTTGTTAGCTTTTACAGTGCCTATCAAAAGCAAAAACCATGTTTAATTTTACTTTTTACTGATTTTTTACCATTTGGTGACTTGTGGAATCTTTTACTCACTGTCATTCCAAACATAATTCATATTAGAATTTCAGTTCCGACACATATCGCAGGGAAACATATATCTTGGGTGCAACATAAATCAGACATTGTTCGACTTCATATTCTGAAAGGTAAGACCTATAATTTGTATGAAATGAATATCATTATTAATTTAAGGAAGCTCTAAACACTAACAGAAACTGTTTTTTTGGACTCAGGGAAAAATATATCATATAAAGATATGCATATTGAGACTTTTCCATTCATTTAGAACATATAATACATGCCTTATTTGCGCAGGAAAAATGTTCAAAGACAATGGACTATTTTTGAGCAGAAATCACTGTTGTTTACTTACATTGGGAACATTAATGAAAATAATTAATTAAATTACTTACTCTTGGTCTTAAACAATGCTAAAAATATTTTAATCTATAATATGTTATGTAATTAATGGTAAATAACAATTTCTATAATTTACGTCTAAGGGCAGATCACTCTAACTGCAAAAAACTACCCAAAAAATTTAGTTCTTTAAGTGTGCAGTGTTTAGAACGTCCTTAATGAAGACATTTTATAATCTAGACACATAATTATCCAAACATTCCATTATATCCCATTAAAAAATAGCTAAATTATAAGCAAGAAAGAGCAACAAGGCAAACGGGCAATTCAGAATATTTAACCAAAAAATATTTGCATTTTCCTTTAAATATAGTTTATAGGCATACATAAAGCATACATGAATCATTATTAACTTTAAATTCTACATACAAATCATTATGTATGGTATTCAAAGACAAAATACTTTGTGGAAATATAAACATTTGAAGCTCCACCTATATTTTATGACAAGGTGTATTTCCGATCTATACAAAATTTCATTTTTAAAAAATCATTTATTAACAGGAGATTGCCATTTTCTTGGAAAATTTTAACGCACCTCAATACAAAAGCACATCAGCAAACAATTTACCCACTACAGCTTGTTGCATATAGTGAATACTTTTGACTTTAAGTTTAAAGTTCAAAAGGTATATTCGAAATGAATTCATTTGCACGTTAGTGAACAGTTTGCAATGGAAGATTAATCATTGCCGTGCTTCGTCTATCAAAATTATCTGAGAAAGGAAAGGGAACCTATTTATTTTACTTAAGATTTACTTGAGATTGCACTGCTCGTGTAAATAGGATGTTTGAGTATTTAGTCAAAATTAACCTAGAGAGTATAATTTTGCAACAACAATATGTTTGTTACTCAGTATAGAACTCAATATAGAATTAAGATAATCATATAAAGGTTTTACCGTCATTCTTTAAATTTAATTCTTTTTCTTTGAAATATTTGAAGAATGCAAAACACATTGATTTCGGTTTACTGATTACAAATCCTTACATTGAACTATTTACATGACTTACAAACCGTGATATTTATTCAGAAATATTTTCATGACTAGCTATAGCAAACTGTGGTATTTATATTTTTATTTATTACATACTTAGTAATAAATACAGGATTTTTGCGTATGTGATATGCCTGACGTCACAATAGCCGTATCAGCGATGCAGGGCTGATATGGATTTGCGGGGCTGATACGGATCAATATCATACCCTTAGTAAATTAAACCTAAAAACAAACAGCACTTGTAATCATACACATATTTTGGGAGTAACATAATTTTCTATTTTTAATTTTTGAATATAAGGATAATGTAATTGACAAATAATTTACAAATTACGGATCGGATACATTTGAAATAGAAGTATAGAAACAAAGCCAAACTGTATGAGACAACAGATTGTGTGCATGTATGTAAGAAGTTCGTGCATGATTATTTACTTAATTTCTACTCAACTGATAGTGTTCTGTATTTTATTACTAAGTATCTAATAAACATAATAAAACATACCCTTTTCCACATCACATCCTGTATCAGCCCTCGACCAATATCAGCCCTCGGGCCTTCATGGCTGATATTGGTGTCTCGGGCTGATACAGGATGTAATTTGGAAAAGGGTATGTGTTATTCCCTATATAAAAATCAACAATGTTCTAGTTACGAAGTTTAATACTAGTATATACAAAACACATTTTGTATCATGGGGACTGACATCTGACTTACAATGAGTTAAAGAAACTGATCTATTTCCAGGACAATTTGGAGATAGGCAAGGTACACATGGTAACTCTTTAGAAGCAAACAAGTAATAAGAAATGCACGCCTGTTAAAAAGATATAACATACACGTAGTAAAAAAACATTAATACCCTGGAGAAAACTTGGGGGTTATTGGTTAAATATGATTTTTTTAAAGAATCTGTAATATATTTACACCATAGAATAGATTTACATGACTTGCAAACTGTGATATTTCAGAGTATGGCGGCATATACTGTGACACAGATCAAATAATCCTGAGATCACTGAATGTCTTCAGAAACGATGAATGTACAATGGGCAATGCACATGATGGCTCTCTTGGGAGTGCATTAATTCTGGCAGCAAAGAATTCAAGATTCATTAACAAATGGATTGAAAGTTATATAACTTATGACCCAACAAAGTGGGGAGACAACTCGGTGACTATGGCCATGAAGCTCGCTAAAGAGAATACGGATTTAATCAAAGTGCAAGATCATCATTGTGTTTTCTTTCCACATACAATGGTTTTGTATAACCAGAATTACAAATGGTCTCACAGTTACGGGCTACATGTCTATAAACTTGGTCATATAGAAGAACTAAAGAGGCTGAATTTCACAAATATACGACGGCTTAACAATACAATAGGTGCCGTGATTCGGTTCATTTTGTTTGGGAACAAAGAAATGTGTGAATAAATACCACTTGTGATATAATCTATCAATCTATCATTAAAGCTGAACACGATTCGTAAAAAAAATGTCGGCCATATTTGTTCGAGCTCTCGCTATATCTGCAGACCCCTATGAATAGAGCGAATCACTTAGTCACTGTTCAGTATAAGGAATTGTGATCGGTGAACACGGAAGTGTACTATACAATACTCAGTAGCGACAAAAATAACTGTGTTCTTCCAGTGCAGGAAAGTAAGAGACAAAAGACACTTACAACAGTTGTTGGCATTGTTTGAATGGATTTTTGAGCTTGAATACTGTTCATTATCTCTATATAATTCAAATATATTTTTTAGAAAAATACCGATGTGAAGGACTCAAATACATGTAAAATTTAGTAATTATTTAATAACTAGTATAAATTTTTTGACATTCTCTTGGTGCCAGATTTATTATGAGACGTCATCATATTTTTCTCGTGCTTTACAGGTATCGTTTGATTAAGTAGAAAATGAATCATTTTCACAATTTCAATTTGAAATGATGCGAAATGTAATCTGGATACACATAATATTCAATATAATATTATCAATAAAAAAGAAATTATTATTCTGTGCCAAGTAGTACGCTTTTAGGATACATACGAAAAAGATTCAAAATTTGAAGATGATTCTCTTCATTTTTCAATGTAAAAAGACAAATCAAAATACATAATTTTGTTGTCTTTACTGAAAAACTATGCTCCGATAAATCTGATTTAGCCGAGATATGGTAAAACACAATTAAGGAATTCATTTCTCAAGTTTGAGAAACTGGTTGGTTCCTTTCATTTAGAAGATTTTGACCTTCAATTCAAAATATATGTACTACATTAAAAAACTGAAAAAAATAACTTTTAAGAGAATTGTAGTGTATGATTATGTATCATTCCTGTAAATCATTTTTGTCTTTTACATCAAGGGAAATTTTTACATTAATGATCGCATGAAATGCATATAAAGTGCACTTCAGCCCTTGACCTATAAAAATGAATATTTACATTTGCCAATGTCTTTCCTTATATGACAATACTAAAAAAATGAAATTCAATTTTCGATGACATGCAGTCGGTCACATGATCTGACGTTCTTGCGTATGGAAAGCAAACTGCACGAGACATTTGGAAAGTCTTAACTGTGACGTCATGTGACGTCGTATTTATACGTTATGATGCATTCAATAACAATGTCTAAATACGGCATTTTATCTTTGTAACGTGAATAGAAATAAAAATATAAATATAAGAAATAAAATATCATTTTTAGAGTGTCAATGGGATATGACATGAAGTCGGTACGTGATAAAATCTACTATAACGCCCTTCGGGCGTTATAGAATTTGATCACGTGACCGACTTCATGTCATATCCCAATGACACTCTAAAAATGATATTTTATTTCTTAAATGCGAATAAAAATGTCGCATCTCATAATAGCATACATGTACGAGGGGTTATCAAAAAGTTCGTGGACTGTGGCTACAAAATTAGTACTATGTAGTGTGTGCTTTCAAAATTTATATGGAACATAAAGCAACAAAAAATAAAGAAATGTTGAAAATTTTAGCCTGATACGTTCATTATTTGCCAAATCATTACAAAATATAAACTACATTATATGATCACCCGGCGCTGTCGTCGTTTATTTTCATGACGTCCGATAACGTCATTGTTTTTTTAATGTCCGATTCTTCTACCTCATACACTTTTTTGATGAGATTCCCTGGAGCTGAGTAAGGACTTAAACCCGCCTTGTTTATATGACTTTACAATGTCATGAACAGTGGCCTTCAATGAATATAATATTCCAAATGGATTAATACATTTGGAGAGATTCGCGCTTGATTGTGTCGGCATATTTTGCTTTTGGGAGTTCAATATCTACAACGCATGATCAACGTCTTTTTTGGCGTGATTGATTTTTCACACCTTGACTGCAAATCGACTTTTCTCTCAGAATTTTTTTTGACATTAAAAGGCAAGTACTCTGGATGCATATTATTTCTTTGTAGCCAGTTTTAACATATTTTAAGTCTATACCAGTTTTTTCAGGGGCAAAACTTTGTAGAATGTTGGAAATGGAAACCCCTCCCCCTTTTGACGTCATTTTCAAGGCCTCATTTGTTTGGACATTCCGTGTAAAATTTACGATAACATTTCATAGAATTTCCAGAATGAAGTGAAAATTTAATATTGTATGAAACAATTGTGTCCCGACACATACATGAATTAACGGGATTTTCGGATGTCAAATGATCAAATCAAAAGAGTTTCTCTCAGTTACACATAGGTCGCAAAAACGTCGTTTTCGAGGTTGCGCCGCATGGACATACCATTGCTTACAAAAACATTACTAATTTATTAAAAAATAAAATTTATAATTTATGGTTTATTCTTTAGATAGAAAAGATAATGCTAACTAGATATTGTAAAATTCATTGATGTGCCTAAAGCGGTTTTAATTTTATGACGCTAGTCCACGAACTTTTTGATAACCCCTCGTACATGTAACATTTACTTTGTGATTAATATTGCAAGAAATAAAAAAAAAATGACAAAAATGGAAAATTAAAAATTTAGTCCGAATTTCCTCTGCATTACCATACATTGACTTTTGTTCCAGTATATTTTCTTTAAATAATAAGATATTAAATTTTCAAATTGATTTTGATTTAAAACTTGCGTATTTTATCCATTTAGAACAATTTTTGATTTAAAATATTATACTTTATAAAATTCCCTTTCTTTTTTCTGAAACCTGAGTAAGTGTCATCCTTAAGCATCCTCATGCATTGAAGATTTAAATTTATTCAAATAATGGCCCATGGCCCTTTGGGTATATTGTCCTGATGAAATTAAATCTGGCTTATTTGAAAAGACAATTCAATTAGATTTTGAAGATAAAAAGATATCAAATAATTTTACATAGTGTGTTTTTATTGATGTGTCAAGATAGTATTCAAATTATTATGAAGTTATATATAGGAAGAAAATGTTTTTAAAAAATCTTTTAATCAAGCTGTATTAATATGAAGACAATCTCAAGTGGTATTAGAATTCAAGCCCCCCCCCCCCCTTCAGTGAACTGTTTCAGTTCTGATCTGATTTGTGCTTTTTCCTAGCTGATTTGCTCAAGTGAGCGATGTGGCCCCCGGGCCTCTTGTTTGATAAACCTATTGTATAAAGAAAATGGAAGGCAAAGAAATTCAAACTTATATGTTCAAGAATAACATTGAAAGAGAGATCTATCTCACTATTGTTCATATTTGATCAGAGGAAAAGTATAATTAGACTCCGCATTTCTTTTAATTAAGCTTATATTGTATTGAAAAGGAATGATGCACAGGCCATCCACTAAAATTATTAGCATGGTTTTAATGTTCAGGATCTTAGAGATGAACAGCATTTGTATGCCCCCAGAATCGAAAATTTAGGGGTACAGTAAAACTCGGTTATAATGAAGTCACTGGGACCTATGAAATTACTTCGATATATCCGTATTTCGCTTTATCAGTGTAAGGAATTCATTAAATTTATATAGATGGGGATCAAAGATATCTTCGCTATATCCGTGAATTTGCAATATCCATGTTCGAACTAAACGAGTTTTACTGTTGTATATAGTCTTTGCCTGTGTGTTCACAAACCTTTAACCTCGCCCATAACTTTTGATTTGGAGGAGTTATGTCTTTCATATTTCAAGTGTGCATACTAGTACCTTGTGACAAGACCATAACTTGTTCACAAGACCTTTTAAAGGATATCAAAAAAATTTGACGTTGTGGCCTTGACTTTAGAGTTTGATTCAGTTCCAAAAACTTAATAGCCTTGAACAAAAGCCTTTATCTTTTAGAAATAGCGCCTTAAATTTATATTTCACAGGAGTATTCCTTGTGACGAGACACTGGTTGGGATACCAAAAGTTACCTACTTTTGAAAAACTTTTACCTTGGTTAACTGATTAAACTCTCATACTAGTATTTTACAAGTATATTCATTGAGACAAGTCTCTCAACTTGATGAATATTTACTAATTACTTTGGTGCTCCAAAACTTCATGAAAATCCGTACACACAAGGATAAATAGCAGGTTCCAGTATTGTTCTACTTAGCCGCTTTCTTTACTCTTTACTAAAATATTAACAACAGAGAAGGATGAGAACTCTACAACAATATATATGAGAAGTGGTGAAAATCAGACGTGGATACAATGTACATTAAAAATCAAAGGAACTTAAAGAAAATTTTAAATCAAAACTTTTTGATCAAATTCATAGCATCAAAACGTAGGGCATTTCAAACTTTATATAACTATTCTCCGCTATATCATTGGCAACTGCTCTTTAAATAGAAATGGACCTCGTAAATTTACTTACCTTGTCATTGGTCCTTTGCAAATTTTATTTTGTTAAAACACCCTTCTGAAACCCTTAAGAATTCTGAAGTTGACATGAAAAAGTGATTGAATAATTGTATCTTCACTACCTGAGGAAGCTTCCAAAGAAATATGACCATTCATGGCTTTTATGTTCTTGAGAAAAAGATTTTTAAAAGATTTTTCTGATGTATTCCTGTGTAAAACTTGGATTGACCATATTGTGACCCAAACCCTACCCCGGAGGATCATAATTTGAACAAAATAGACCAATAACAGCTTTGCTATTCTAGAGAAGATTTTCAAATGAAAAACATTCAGAATAAATGACCAATGACAAAGGAATACATGACATATCAGGCAATTAACACCAAAGAAATTAACCTGATAATTGCATAAACGTGGGCACTAGTCTCAAATAGTTTGATTCAAAATATTTTTGAAGTTCAAAACAAAATCAGTGTTTATATAACAAATAAATATTAATTGCTTATGTAGACTACTCCACGAAGTGATAATTGTATTTATCAGGAAAGGCTCCCTTTGTATTTAAACAACCGACAAAAATTGTCACAACGATTATCAAAGTTAACTTTTATAACTTTAAAGAAGT